TCCTGTTTAATTTATGTTGGTTAATTATTAATGCACAATCAAATCTATTATTGGTGATCATTTGAATTAAAATCACATTAACCTAAAATCAAATTATTAATTATCTTATTAGGCGTGATTTCAAGTACATATTCCCTTTAAACCTGCAAGAAGGGGCGTGATCAAGCAATAACAATCAATCATGAATAATCAAGCAACATATGACTAATTGACACAACAATCATCATCATCAAAATATCGTTAATAGTAAGATCCTAGGCATGATACTAAACGGATTAATAACAAACCCTAGCATGTCACTAATAAAAACCATAATCAAAGCATTAACATAAACATGATACTAGAAATCATAAAAAGCATCCTAAACATGATACTAGGAATTAAAAAAACATTCTCAACATGATTTCTAAAATATAAAAATATTCTAAACATGATTCCTACACCGAAATCAAAGGAACGATAACAAGGGTAATTGAATTACTCGCTTCGATGCCTCAACCTTCTTGCTATTAAAACAATAAACACGTTAGTAACTTCAAAAAAGATTAAATCAACAAAGTAAATAAATCAAATATGAATTGAAATATAGATTTGGGACCAAACCCTCAAAACTATCAATCTTTCTTGTCGAGGTCGAAGGCAACGTCGAGGAGGGCAAGGAGTATTCGAATCTCGTGAAGGAAGTATGGTGTAATACCCCGAATTTTTGAAACATATTTTCTAATTAATTAATTAGTATTTTCTTAAAAGGGTGTTTTAGTAATTTATTTTACTATTTGAATTTTGGAGCCAAAACGATATTTGAATTTTGGCGCCAACAACATTAATTCAAAACTCAATTATTATTTTGGATTTTGGATAAGATTTATTATCCATTTATTTCATTTTAAAAACCGGATTATATATATTTATGATATTTTAATCAAGCAAAATTATATTTTCTTATTTAATTTAAAAGGGTCGATTTCCCTAATTAATTAGCTAGGATTTTCGGATTTTCTTAGTTAAATTAGTTAGTGAATAATTGGTATTTTTCTAATTAATTATTTTATACAAAATATATTATTTACACAATCATTTTTATTCCTTAAAAACTAGCAAAATAATTGCCTAAATATTTAAAGGGAGGTCCGAAAATATGAGCTTAGGAAATCTTAAATTTTCAGCCACCATATTGTATTTTGAGCAAAATTATTTTGGTAATTTTTGTATTTTAATTATCATCCTCAATTCTATTATTTTGCTTAATTCTTATTTTCTATCTCCTAAATATTTGATCATCTTATTTATTTACCATAAAACATTCTTGATTATTACCCAATAAAAGCCATTTACCATTTAATATTTCATGAATACATACTTACCTGAATTCTTTATTTCTTAATCACCATAAACTAAACCTTCCTTAATTCTTAAACTCTCTTTTCCAAATAATTCCTTAAATTACATTTACCATAATTTTTCCTACAAGATCTTACCTTAATTCTTTCATTCATGAGCCTATAAATACTCCCTCGTACCTCTCATATTCTTCAAACCAAAACCCAATTCTCTTCTTCTCTCTTATTCTTCTTTTCTCCAAACCTTTTCATACTTTTCTTTCTACTCTTTTCATACATAATCAGCTCGTATATCTTTAGAGCCAATTTTCAGATATTTCTGCTTAGTTTTGAGGTTTTGCTATTTCATGGAAAATTGTTCCTCTTGAAAACTCCTTGAGGTTTGGTTCAAGAATCACCCAATTCGGAGTTATATTGATGGAGTTATAGCCTCTACAAGTTCTGTCTTTTCTTTCCAACGCAAATTCAATTCTCTTTAATCCTATTCCTTTATTTTCTTCATGGTTAGTTTTCTAAAATATAAGTACTTATTTCAAAGCTATAATTTTATATTAATGTATTATTTTTAAATGAGTTTCATAATCCATGTACATTAGTTTGGGTTTATGTCTAAATATATTGTGATAACCTTATGGTTATGTTAATTGCAAGGTGTATACGTGATTGGACTTTGAAAGTGCGAAGTGTTGATTGATATTCGGAACCAAGGTACGTTTAGGTGGCTAGATATTTTCGAAAGTGATTGGTTTGAATAGCATGTTTTATATGATTTTATTGGTGATTGAATTAAATTGATTTGAACTATGATTTATGAAATAAAGTATGGTTGGAGGAATTGATTTTAATATTTGTTTTGATAAATGTATTTTTGAAGGTTTGATTTTAATATCATGTTTTGAATGGTTTGAAACTATTTACTCCGTATTATGTTTAAAGGAATTTGGTTTTTAAAAGTATGTTGGATGGATTTAAAGAGTTTTTATTTATTTTTTTTTTTTTTTTTTTGAGGTTTGATTTTAAAAGCTTGTTAAATTAAATACAAAAGGAGTTTTTGAGTTATTCTATTATAAAGTTTGATTTATTCAAAAGAGGAATTTAAAGAGGATTTATTGAATTTTTATTATTAAAGCTTTACAAGCATGTTAGTAATCCCACTATACTGATTTAGTTGATAAGACTTTGGACTTTGTATGACCGAGTCTTTACTCAAGAATAGCCTTGAATTAGTAGGAGACTAGCTTGGGAGGTGTGCACACTTGGGTGAGGAATTGGTTTTCAAAAGAGGAATTGGTTTAATAAATCGTTTTTATTGAATTATTGAGTTATTGGAATTGTTTTGAGAATATTGAGAATTGGTTTTGAAACTATGAGTTTTGGAATTATTGGATTAACATTGAAATTGGTTTTTAAAAAGCATGTTTGCAAATAAATTGAATTTACTTATCTTGCACTTATCGTACTTAGCATATTTTGCTGATCCGTATTTCCTATTTGTTTTGTTTTGCCCTATTTACCTTAATGGTAAACAGTGTTGACTATTTTCAGGTGGAGTCAATATTTGAGCATTGTGAGTTCATGTTTGATTCGTCTCAACGAATGCTCTATTAATATTCAATCGTTATAATTTTAAAAAGTATGTAATGAATAATAATCAAATAGGTGTATTGACAAATGTGTAAAAGTCAAAACGTATCCAATAAAAAGCGACGAAGGGAGTATTATACTTTAGATATAGGGTAATTTTGTGAAAATTTAAGAAAATTTTACCTACAATTACCATTATAATGACTACTTTGAGAACAACTACCATTTAATTATTATTTTTTTTTGTGAAAAAAAAAATCTTCCACAAAAATTTTGAGTTACACAACTACATTTAATTTCTGGCAATAATTTCCAATTGAGGGAGCTAAAAAATCGGTCGTTTCAACGACGAGGGAAGGGAGGAGGGGCGGTTTCATCAACCTGAGAAGGAGGGGTCTATTTTGGGGATGGGGGAAGGGGGGTGGTTTCGATGGTGTAGGTGGGTCGACCGACTGTTTTTAGGGGTAGGGAGGGGCCGACGGGCTGTTATCCGTTGCTAGGGGAGCAGGTGGTCGAATTTCGGTTGGGCTGGGGGTTGGGGCTAAAGGGAGGAAGGATGGTGGCTGGCTGGGAAGGGTTTTTAATTTTTTTTTTTTTCTTTTTTTACAAAAATAATTTGGACCAATTATGTTGCGACACATCACACATGGCTTTTACAAAATAAAAATCACCCTTTCTTTAAGTCACTGGTAAATCGACCTAGTGGAAGAAAATCAAACCAAAAGTTTATAGTGCTCCCTAATAAATGTAAGTTGGGATTATTGAGAGTAAATCGTTGAAAGTTTGGATTAATAAATTAAAGTGAATTTTTCTATAAAATAAAACTTAGATTTTGGAAGCACCCAATATAATAGATCGAAAAGCGAAGACAAGTCGAATTCAGGGTTAATTGGAGGATGAAATGGAGTCGTTTGACTCTTGGAATTGCCCTTTTTTATCTCTTTAGTTTTAATAAAAATGTGTTCCTTTAATGGAAGTGGTGTTACTTATATTTGTTGGGAGATGTAGCAAAATTTCAATTTCAGATTTACATAAACCCTTGTTGAAGGAGGATGGTAGTAGGTGTTGTTAAACCCATTTGTATGTGATATCGGTAAAAGTCATCATAACATCATGACCTTGTATGAGAATATATACTCCCTCTGTCCCATAATATAGTTTCTGTTTTCCTATTTTAGAGACCCAAAATGTTGTTTCTGTTTCTATTTTTGAATAGTATGTAAAGACCATTATACCCTTATTTTTTACTTTATTCATTGAACTTTCTAATTTACCCTTAACTTATCCACTTGCATTGTACTTTTTTCACTTTCTCTCTCTAACTTTTGTCTATAATTGGACTTTTCACTTTTTTCCCCATAAATTATCCACTTGTCTTGTACTTTTATCTAACTTTTGTCTAGCTTTTTTCCACTTCTCCTCCCATTTCTTAAATACCGTGAACAAAAAACAATATGAACTATATTATGGGACGGAGGAGTATAACATATGGTTTTGTCAGATCACAAAGAAATGTGATTGACATGTATGAAGCATAGATCTCAAGAGGATTTTATCCATTTGAATTATTGGGGTCCCTTAGAGTAAAACATACTGATTTTGGGTTGTCTCCATCATTTCAGCAACATTCATAGAACTTTAATTGTATGTTAGAATATACCTTGCACAAAACGAAACATCATCACCAACTTCCCTCATTCTATCAATAGTCCCATCGCATGTTTAAATGTATATTGGTAAGCCTTATATGCGTTTTCCTCACTCGTTGTAATAACTTAAAGGTAAATATCGCTAATGACCTTAATTGATAGTGTGTAAGGGCTTCTTATGCCAATAGTAACTTATGTTACTTACTGTCCTTTTGTTTGTTGTAAACTCAGTTTAATTAATGTAATTTCAGCTTTTTTAAAAAAAAAAATCTACAAAACTTACAAAGAATTGATACAAGCTTTGGTGTATAGAAATATTTAAAAATATTTAAAACATGTTTACATAAAACCCTTATAAAGCTCTACATGTCTTGTAATTAGACGATCATATAAAGACTCGCCTCATTTATTTATCAGACGGATCTAACCCATATTATAACTATGGCGGGTCATGGCTTTTAAAGGCCTCCATTCCTATTTCTTACCTCTCTGAGTTATTTCATTGAAGTGCACTCAACGTTCTTCATTGAAGCGTTCTCCGTTGAATCTAATTCTTGGATCCCCCATTGAAGCAGCTTCTAAGGTAAGTTGTTTGTTGTTGTTATCATCATATCAATTTCACAATCTAGGGATTATATTTGATCTAATCTAATTTAATTATCAGTGCTTTAACTTTAGGGTTCGTAAATTCTTAGATTATGAAACATCATATCCAAAAGAAAAGAAAATTATGAGCGTAATTTGATTATTGAATCAAATATCCCTAAAATTATGTATTTTTCGAGATAATTCAATATGAAATCAAAACTCTTTTACCTGGGCCCAGGGCGGCCGCCCCTTCTGCCCTGCCTCAGGGACGGGCTTGGTTCATCTAGTTGCCTGCTATGTCTTGTAGTTTTTTCTTTTATTAATGGACTTTTTGCCTCCTGAATTCTGCTGCAATTGACTTTCTTTCTGAGTTTAGTTGATTATAAAATGAAAATATGCCAAAAATTCGTTGGTTTGATTGCATTATGAGCTGTTTTACTTTTGTGTAATGTTTACAGTCAGTGATTTAGCTGAAATATAATTGGGAGTTGCTTTCTGTCTTAATTTTTTGTCCAATACAGTAAGAAAATTATGGAAGGAACTTAGAGGAATTGTTGTATTATGTCACAATACCAAAATTTTGTGAAATTTTAGGTATGTTCTTCAGAAAAATACTCGTATAGAGTTGTCTGAAATTTCATGGATGGTCTTTTTTTATCCTATCTGCATTCTGGACATGTCTTGAATTTGAAGTTTATGCCTTTCGCCTGAAGCAGAACCTACTGCGGTTTCAGTTCTATCAATCGCGGATTTGTGGTATCCCTACCATTTTTTTCTTATTATCAATTACATTGGTTTATAATACCATACGGTTCCTTATGACGATTCATGTTTGCCAAACCCTAATCATTTTTGGAACTAAGGCTTTGTTGTTGTTGTTGATCAATCACATTGGTTTATAACATATACTGCTAAATTTTTCCATTAAATCCTTGCATTTTGATTGTTCTCTTGGCATTTATCAAGATACTGATACTCTTATTTTATATTTTTGTATTTGACCAGGGATTTTTTTATTTTTTTATTTTTAAATTGCTCAACATGAAAATCATCAGGTTCTCTCAAAACCTGAAGTTTACAAATAAGAGTTTTGAGCCAACTTTTTCGATTTTCATTAGAGATTTTTCTCTTTGGTCAATGAAGAAAGACCCAGATCTTGAATCAGCTCTAACAAATAACCGTCGTTGGATTGTGAATAACCAAATTAAGAACATAATCCTGAGATACCCTAATCAGGTAGTACCTGTTAATTTCATCCAGAAGAAGTACAAGACCCTTGATCTTCAAGGCAAAGCTCTCAATTGGCTAAACAAGTATCCATGTTGCTTTGAGGTCTTTCGAGAAAACGACGAGCTCTATTGTCAACTAATCAAAAGAATGATGTGCCTAGTAGAGGAGGAAGAGGCCATCAAAGAAGAGCAGGAGCCTGTATTTGCTGAGCGGTTGGCGAAAATATTGATGATGAGCTCAAACCAAAGGCTTAATGTGGTAAAGCTGGATGAATTGAAGCGGAATTTCGGTTTTCCTGATGATTATCTGATTAGAATAGTTCCAAAATATTCAGAAATGTTTCGGCTTATTAATTATAGTGGGAGGAAAAGTTCTATGGAGGTCGAGCTTGTGTCATGGAACCCTGAGCTGCCGATTTCGTGCATTGAAATGTCAGCTAGCAAGCAGAATTTAGAGCCTCGCTTTTCGTGTTCATTGCCTTCGACATGGATTAAATCATGGGAGAGGTTTAATGAGTTCAATTCAACGCCATATATATCACCTTACACTAATCCCAGCAGCTTGGTTGAAGGATCAAAGGAGCATGAGAAAAGGACAGTGGCCTTGGTACATGAATTACTATCACTAACTCTTTGGAAGAAATTGTCTGTCATAAAGCTAGGCCATTTCAAGAGAGAGTTTGCTTTGCCAGAGAAGTTAAATGTTTTGCTGTTAAAACATCCTGGCATATTCTATGTAACAAACAAGTATAAGACCTACACGGTTCTCCTCCGAGAGGGATATAATGCCTCAAAGCTGATTGACAAGGATCCACTAGTTGTGGTGAAGGATAAATTTGGGGAATTAATGCAAGAGAGGCTGCATGAGTACAATCAGCGAGGGCGTTTATTGAATCTAGAGAAGAGGAAGAAGAAAGGTATAATGATGCCTAAAGTAGAGAAAAGGAAGGAAAAGAATGTGGAGATATCTGAAGAAGAAGATCCAGCAGGTCAGGCTGGACGTCTATTTGATCCTGAGGAAAGGAAAAGGTTTTACAAGATACTATTTGAGGACGATTCCTGAGAAATTGAGAATATGTGGTGTTCATCAATTGGGCACTAATTAAATGGACAAGGAATCTAGCTGCTGTTTTCTTATATCAGGAATAGTAACATGGAATGAGCTTAGAAGTTCTCAACCAATCTAGCAAAACAAAGCAATAGGATTCCAAGATTTGAAGCTTATGCAAAAATATGACCCTCGAATTCGACATAGCATCCAATACTGTAAAACTTCTAGGTTATTCTGGTTGTAAGATAAAAACTCAAGTGCCATATTTGAGTAATTCACCTTTTGTTGAGATTTCAGGTGTTGAATTCTTCATAAAAGCTGGAATGCTGTAAATACAAGGGAAATCACAGGGTTTTTTTTCTCCTTTTTTCCCTTTTGATCTTGTTTTGGTCTTCCTTTCTGTTTATTCTATTGTAGGGTTCTTTGTGACAGCAATGGCTGAAAGATATACTTCTATGTGGAAGATTTCCATTTTCTTTTTAAATCGACGGGTAGTTTCTTATCTGAACTCTTCTATCTTGTGCTCTTATTACTTTTATTATTAAGCCTGTTGTTTTCTTTTGATTTTGGTCTTTTTGGATCTCATTATTATCCTTCGACTGAGTGTAAAGTGAACAAGACCACTATATAATTTCAGTGGATTACAATACTAGATTGCCATAAAGAATTCCTGTAGTGGATGAAAACTTTGTACCTATGATATATTTTGCTAATTTTGGTGCACTCTTTTTCAAAAATGTTGTAGTCTACTGTCTACTTTCATAAAATGTTCAGAATAAAGAACTTTCAATAGTTATGAGATATAATCATTCTAAGCCTTTTTCTGATTGTGATGTCACTAATTTTCTGTATGTCACTAATTTTCTGTTCACATATATTTTGATGCTGCATCCGTAGGGGGTCTATCATGACAAAGAATCCAACCGAAGCAAAGGATTTGATTGAGAAGATGGGTGCAAATGACAATTACCACCCAGGAGGACGACGCAACGCTTAAAAGGGGGGTACTCATGATGTTGATGCTCTAACCTAGCCTGTTCAAGCACGGACTCACAAGGTTGAGAAACTCCAAACTGGATCATCCATGGCCTCTACGGAGACCTTTGTTGCTGAGACGTGTCAATTTTGTGGCATACAAGGCCACATTGCAATTGAGTGTCAATAAAACATGAATGAGATGATGATCAAGCTAGCTAATGCATTCTATATTACGGGACCCAAAAGGCCGTATGATCCTTACTCAAACACATAAAATGAAGGATGGAGAAATCATCCAAATTTCTCTTATAAGAACACTCAAGCACAACAGAATCCACCTCCACCACCCCCTCGCAACAACAACTATAATGCACCACTTGATTTCAAGCAAGGCCACCTCCAGCCAACAACCTATACAACCACCCCCACAAAAATCCAACCTTGAGTTAAAGATGGAGGATTTCATTACCAATACAAACTATACCATCCAACAACTACAAGCTCAAAGCCAACAATTACAAGCTCAAAATAAGCTCATGGAAATCAATTAAGTCAACTTGCTTATCAAGTTGGCCAATCTTTAAAGACTCTAGGTACCTTTCTGGTCAAAGCAACCACCGAAGGGGCATATGATGACGTGACTTTGCGGAGCGGAAAGCTGATGGAGGATCCTCCCGTAAGGGAACCATAATGAGGTTATTGAAGAAATCAAGAAATAGTCACAAATGAGAAAGCGGCCGATAGTTGTGTGATCGAGGAAAAGCCAAAGGAATCAAATGCACCATTACTTGCTCCATATGTGCCACAAGTTCCCTTTCCACATAGATTGGCTCAAGCCAAGTTAGAGAAGAAGTTCGGGAAATTCCTTGATATATTGAAGAAGCTTCACATAAATATCCCGTTCCTTGATGGTATATCTGAGATGCCTTCTTATGCTAAGCTTTTGAAGAATATGCTCTCTAAATAAAAAGTTTGACACTGTTGGAAGAGACATGAACGTGTCCTGGAAAAGCATGTTCGTGCCATGTCGAAATTGAGAACACCACAAGCCACAAGCCACTGCCAAAAAAAAATTCGTCAAGGCATGTCCGTGTCCGAGCAGGTAGGCACGTCCATGCCCCCAGTCGCCAAGCATCAGTACGCAGCATTAGGCACGTCCTTGCCTTAGGTTAGCACGTCCGTGCCTCGTCAGTTTTGAGCGTGCTCTTTTCTTATGTCTGTGTTTTTCCTTCAATACCCCCACACTTTCACGAATTTCTTTCGCTTCTATACCCCCTCGACTTCACACTCTCCTCTCTATACTATCACACCCTCAACACCCTAAATTTCATCACAATCTCTTTTGATCTCCATTATTTTCTGTCTCTACACCTTCTACACCAATTTCCTACGAAATTTTCACCATAATTCACTCAATTTCTCACAATCTCACCAAAAATTCGAAAATCCTAACTTTCAAACGAATTTGGGGGTTTTCTCATATACTTAATTGGAAGCAATTTGTGGCTTGTGGAGCATTCTAAGGTTTTAAAGACTACAAGAACGGGTCATTTGCGGGTATTTGAGACCTATCACAACTTGGGTATACTCTTTCCGCTCTCTTTCTCTCTCTAAAAATTTCATGGCTTACTTTGTGAAATTTCTTGATGAAATTTATTAGTTTGTGATTCTTTTGGGAATTTTTTAGTTATGTTGACCTTGTTTATGTGGATTGTGATTAATTTTGTGAAGTTTCAAATGTTCTTAGTAGTCATGGAGTAGCTACTTGAAAGAGTTTTGACTTTGATTTGGTTTTGTTTTTTTCTTAGTCTTAATTGTTTTGATTGTGATGGAATTTTTGAATCCTTAGAAATTGGAAGCAATTTTTATGAGTTAAGATTGAGTGCATGGTTTGTTGGTGGTTGTAATAGTCATAAGTATTCTAGTTGATTGTGGTATTGTGGAAATCTTGGGATAATTCTTGTTATCAATTAGGGTTGTGTAGCTTTGTTGTACTTGATTGGTTATTGTTTCTTTGATTACTTCGTGGTGTCTTTGATTGCTTAATTGTGAGTCATGGCTTCCTTTTCAAGCCCTAGAAGAAACCAACCAAGAAACACTTCCACCTCCAAACCTTAGAAATCGCCCACCACCACGACAACCCGTTCAACAACCCATTCCACGACCTATACAACCCCCTCCTATTGACACTTATGGAATTGATTTTAGGAACAATGAGCAATATATGGCAAAATTCCTTTAGATTCAACATAGGTCCATTAGATTCCTTTATTTATTATATATATATATATATATATATATATATATATATATATATATATATATATATATATATATATATATATATTAGCCAAGTTAACCGTTTCCTAAGATTCCCTTCGAATGGAAAGTTAACTAGACCAAACCGCTTTAGGATAGAGGGGTATTCAGATAGAGCATTTTGGAGGAACTTAACTAGACTAGAGCAATATGACCCTTGTCGATCCAAAGTCGCATGCATTTTTCATCATGTCCTCAGATATATAGTTTGACTCCTCTCTTGTACTCTTTTCGCTAGGAAAAGCACCGGCGGCTAAGGAGCTATATTTTTTGTGGCATATCGTGGTTAACTCCACTCGAGATGTACAAGGAAATGAGGATGTCTCCGAACGGATTCTTAACCACGGTGCGTGGTTCATGGATTATTTGTACAATGTTGCTGAGGGTTTTGGAGAGATTGCTATTAGGGGTATGATTACCTTGCTTGTTATTGGTGTCACTAATGATCTTGATCTTTCAGTTTTAGAGCCATATAAAATGGGTGGTTCTATTATCCTTGATTTGCAAAGTTTGAGGACAATGAACGGATCAAGAAACAGCAAGGTGACCAAGGTTATGTGTGGTTTGTTGGAAGGCCAAATCTCCCACGTCCTTTGCCATATGCAAACCTCCCTAGAGAGGGTCTCCTTGGGTCGTTCCCCCACACTTCGTTTCCACCCCCACTTGTTGAAGGTGTCCTATTACCGGTGGTGTATGATCAGCAAAACATGGAGGAAGACATCCCCATGCCCAAAGGTGGTGCCCGACCATTTCAAGGTGCTCAAGCATTTGAGGGTGGCAACCAACCACTTAAGGAGCAAATTGCAAGTATAAGGACTGACTTTTGTCACCTGAGGCCTGTCTTTGATGACCTAAGAAGGGATTTTGCGGACACAAGAACAGGGTATGAAAACCTAATGAAATCTCATGACAGCATGGCCACCACTTTTGGCGAGATGAAAAGTCAATTCACTTCTATGCATTATGCATTTTAGGGCATAGGTGGCATGATGTGTCGTCATTTTGAAGGCGGTTCTAGCTCCGCCCCCAGTTATTCCCTCTTCCGGCCAAAAGGGCCTAGTTTTCTCTTTCCCTTGCAAGTGTTGATTGATATATGTTCACATTGAGGACAATTTGAAGTTTAGCTTAGGGGAGGGATTACTTTATGCTTTGTAGATATTAGTTTGTTTGCTTTTGGTTTATTCTAGTCTCTTGTTATGCATTTACATGGTTTTGCCTCAATGATGATATGTGATACATGTGAAATTTTTGAAAATTGAAAAACTTGATTTTGAAAATCCATTAACTTGGAATTGGACTTGAAAGTCTCCCCTTTTGCATTACATAACTCAATAGTATCGTAAGGGTAAACTTTTCGGACCTTGAATTAGAACGAAGCTTTCCATAAAATACATTCAACTTTGAATTGAATAGAAGAACTTGGTCTCTTTCTTTGAATTCTTTTCTTAGAAGACCCTTGTCATGCCACCTTTTGGTTTTCCCGACGGAGTTCATCAAGCTCATTTAGTTGCAAAAGTCTCTTCTCACTCGCTGCTTGAGCATCTAAATGTAAACTTTTAATAGCCCAAAATGCTCGGTGTTCTAGCTCGACAGCTAAGTGATGAGCTTTCCTTTAAACAAGTCTATATATATGGGGTTGTACCAATTGGCTTATTAAATGCCGTTCAATATGCCCATAATGCATCATCAATTTTTATGGACCAATCCTTCCTTATCCTTACTACTGTCTTCTCCAAAATAGACTTGATTTCTCTATTCGAGACCTCGACTTGGCCACTAGTCTGTGGATGATAATTGATGCCAAGCCTATGTTGCACTCTATATTTCTTCAACATTCCTCCGAATCGATGCTCCAAGAAATGTGTTCCCCTTTTACTTATCAACACACACGGTAAACCAAAACGAGGGAAAATAACTTTCTTGAAGAATTTACTTACCACGCAAGCATCGTTGGTTGGAGTAGCAATTGCTTCCACCCACTTCGAAACATAGTCAACGGCTACTAGAATGTATCAATTCCCATAGGAAGAAATCGACACTGAGCCTCGTGAAGAAATCGACTAAGATAAGGCAGCATGTTTGCACTCCTGAATGTCTTGATTATCTTTTCCTTTTTTTCATTATTTTTTAACACTCAATCATTCAAGTTGCATTTTGAGTAGACATTTATCTAGCACTAAGGAACATACAGCTTTATAATTTTCTGACATTTGATCTGCTAACATCTTAATCTGTCTCTGTGGAATAATGCTCACACCCCCACCCGGCCACCCCCTCTGATTAAAACCTGATGTTAATCAAGAGTGAACTTTGTATCGTCTACGAGTAGCGAAAATCAAACCAGTTCAGAACTATTTTCCTCTAAAGCAAACACATTCTTAGTTAAATGTGAGCATAACTCAGAAAAGATTTCATTACAATTGCTAGAAAGTTTTGGCATTTGTCATGCAAACTGCAAAGTTCCCTAACCAATTCAGAATGTGATTCTCTCCTTCAATAGCTTGTACTGCTTTTAATTTTTCATATCATTTGTTCCTTATTATCAAAATCAAAACAACAATTCAAAACTCATTATTTTCAAGTTTGATACTTCCTTTGTTTTTTTTTAATTGACCTATTTCTTTTATCACGCCTGTCAATGCTAAACTTTAACGATCAATAACTTTAATTCTTCATAAGTAAAAATGATAAAAGTTATATATTATAATAGTGCTTATTGAGACTAATTCAAAAAGATCCCACATAAATATGTTTTTCTTTATATATTATTAACAAAAGACGATCAAAGGAGAAATGGTGAATAAAATATGCTTAAGTTTCAACTCAATCCATATTTAATTTACTGAAATTTTGTATAAAACCATTTATCAAATCTTTTTTTTTTTTTGCATATAACCATCTTTTAAAAAATTATTGCAAAAAGCCACTAATTTTAAAACTTTTATTATAATTTACCACTTTTTAACCAAACCCACCAACTATTCTCCATAAACTAATGGTAAATTGCAACAAAATTTTTAAAATTGGTGGACTTTTGTAACATTTTCTTCAAAAAGTGAATATATGAAGAGAAAAAATAAATAAATAAATAATAATTTAAAAGGTAATTTTATTCAAAATTTCCTTAATTTAATAACACTAATCATAATAAGAAAATATGAGTAATTTAACAAAAGTAGTATTAAACTATAATAATAATAATAAGATTTCCGTAATTCCATTGAGCATAAAACAAACATTCAGACTTCCATTTAATTACACAAATCTTCACTATAAAACCCTAATTCCCAACTTCATCCCCAAATTACAAACCCTAATTAAAATCAACCAAACTTAATCTCAAGCCCTTTCACCACGAATCCGACGAGCAAGCTGAATATCCTTAGGCATAATAGTAACCCTCTTAGCATGAATAGCGCAAAGGTTAGTATCCTCAAACAAACCAACCAAATAAGCCTCAGCAGCCTCCTGAAGAGCGGCGACAGCGGAGCTCTGGAAGCGGAGATCAGTCTTGAAATCCTGAGCAATTTCTCTTACAAGCCTCTGAAATGGGAGCTTCCTGATGAGAAGCTCAGTGCTCTTCTGGTACTTCCTGATCTCTCGAAGTGCCACGGTTCCAGGGCGGAAACGATGGGGCTTTTTCACTCCGCCGGTGGCTGGGGCTGACTTGCGAGCAGCCTTGGTGGCTAGCTGCTTCCTTGGGGCTTTTCCGCCAGTTGATTTACGAGCGGTTTGCTTGGTGCGAGCCATTAATGGAGGATTTGGAGGTTTTTGAGGAGAGAGAAAATGGAGGGAAAGTTTAATTTTTTTTGATGTTTGAATTTGAGATGAAGAGAAATGGTGGGATGAGGGGGTTTATATAGGAGAGAGAAGGCGGGAGTTTGAAAATTTTTAGAAGGGGATTTTTGAAAGGTGTCTTTGGGTTGATATTGAGGCGTTGGATTTGATGGGAATGAACGATGGAGATTGGTTTGTGAGGGAGCACACAGATCGCAATCCGTGTATCGCTAGTTTTCGCTTTATTCTCTTTTCTAAATGGTGCGGTTTATTGTTTAAAAAAAAATGGTGCGGTTTATAAGAGCAATGATAAGATATACTGATTATACATTTATACTCCATATTTTATTTGTGGTGCGGTTTATAAGAGCAATGATAAGATATACTGATTATACATTTATACTCCATATTGTATTTGTAGCTTGCTTTTTTTTTCCACCCGCTTTATTTTTTGGTCAAATCTGAATTTGGGATCAATTTTAGGTGATTAGGTTCTACTCCTCTCTCATTTGTTATTACGAGGGATCGAACACGCGGTCCTCCCTACTAATTGCAATCTCAATCACCACTACATCAGCAATCAATTGGTGTTTATAGCTTGCTTTGCCACATCAATTTTTAAAGTACAACAATTTTTAGCTATAAAGTGTTTTAACTGTGAGCTACACAATATACGGAGTATTGTAGATTGCAAAAATAAAAAAATATATAAAAAAAATTGTCCATATGTTATAATATGAGTAGAGTTTATTTGTCTCTTTTTCAATCAAACATGTAGCTTGTTAGAAATTGCTTTAAATTTTCAATCTCATTCCTATCATCTAATCTCCAAATTCTCATTCCCAATTGCCAAACAACCCGCTAAGCTCTTCAACTGATTTATCCATAATTTTCTGCAACACCCCAAATCAAAATAAAAAATTATATTAATCCATTTTCAACTTCAGGTAAAAAATAAAAATAAAAATAAAAAAAACTACAAAATTTCAATTTCATCAATTTTGATCAAACCTTGATGCTATTTAGAGACAAAATTCACTACAAAACAATTGTTAAAGCTCACTTATAGTTTCAAGCCGAAATAATAAACCAAAAAAGTAGTATAAATTCATCAAAATATTAGACCTAGATGAAATGAAAAATAAATAAATAAATAAATACTATCTTCACAATAAATTAAAAACAATAATCAAATTTTCAAACCCAAATCAAAAAGCTCACCTACATTTTCTTAATCGATTTATCTAAGCTAACGAAGAAATTCATCAAAACAAATGCGTTTTCTATCTCTTAAACGCAATTTTCTAGGTTTTTGCGGGGGTGAGGGAAGGGTTTCGGGGGAAGGGAGGCCGGCGAGGGGTGGGGGAGCTAGGTGCGGCGAAGGGTGGGGGAGGGGCGGTGGTGCGATTGTGGGGTTTTCTGGTGGTGTGGGTATAGTGGGTAGAAGGGTGGTGGTATGGTGGTGTGTTGGTGGCTAAAGGAATGGGAATGGAGATACGTTGGGGAGTGGGGAATTGAAACAACTTAGAAAGATTTGGGGGAATGGATTGGAGAGGGTTAATAAAATGGGAAAAAAGAAATAACAAACAACAACAAAGGGAATGAGTGAAAGTTGATTCTCATTCCCTTTTGATAAATACTCCCAACCAAACGGCCCATAAAGTTGTTGTGATTTTTAAATTATACTTCGTACATTTTTAGACAAAATTATTTAGTATCACCATTTATATAATTATTAAAATTTGGCAATCAGTTTAAATTTTATATTTGCACATGTACCTCTACTATAAATGTCTCCAAACAAAGGGATTGAAGAAAGTAAACAACCCCAAAGTTCGGATTATTTCAGAATAATCATAAGTTGAGATTATTAAAAGAAAATACGGCAAAATTGAGATTTTTTTACAATTTTTCATAGTTATCTTTACTTTGTCTACTATATATTAGCATAAAATTATTCCCACTAAGTATAAGCACCAATTCATCTCTTTTGAAGTTTGATGTTTTGGTACTTTATCATGCAACTAGACTAAATTTCGAAAATTATTGCATGGTTTGATTTTTTTTTTTTTTTTTTTTGAATAAATTGCATGGTTTGATTTGTAAAACTTAAATCTGAATAATAATAATTAATTGCAAGCGAGTGACACTTCATGCAAATTTAATTACAAAATGTTTCGTACCAATGCACCCAAAAAAAAAAAAAAAAAGAAAAAAAAAAAGGTATTTGTAGCTAATAATACTCGCTTGAATCAGGGTTAGTTATTACTTAGGGAGGTAATATTTATGGGGAAAAACATTACTCTTTCTAAACTAAAAAAGGGAATGCATGAATCAATTAAGAAAGCTATATATAAATATGAAAAGTTCAAAATATTGTTAAATTCTAGTAATTTTCACACATAACAGAATAATTACAAGTAATTGATTAATGTTATTCAAAAAAAAAAAAAAGAATAATTGACAAATTAATTACCATAGATTTAAGGGTTGCACTACATATAGTGAGCAAATTATAGGTTTCCAATACTTGCTTAAAATAAATACTCGTAGATACTAAACAGATCAAAATTGGGTGGCTGTCTTCATGTCCGCCCCTCTTGCTGCCACACCACACCGCGAACAGATCCCCGCCACCACTTTGGCTTCGCATTATTTCCCTCTACGAAAACTCCAATTTTCTTATCACTAGTTTAAGTACAATTTCATTTGCTGCTCTCTTTATCTTGTTATATCCCTTAGCTTATACTACAGTAAATTTGGTTTGGTTGAATTGTCTAGTGATTGATTATGTAATATTAGAGTATCCTAGTAAAAAAAAACATTTATATATAGCCATTATAGGAGTTATTATCACCTTACCTCCTTGAGAGGGTGGGGACCTGGGTCATATAATGTGGGAGATTTTTGGGTAAAAGTTTGTTTGATGAGAATATGAAATGTATGAACTATTCTAGTTAAGTTTCATTTAGAATTTGTAAGCTCTGTGGAGCAGTGTAACTCTAGGGAAGGTTAGTGTAAATTATTAGTTTATTACCCTTAAATGGAGGGGAAAATTATGGGCCAAACCATTTAACCTCCTCAATCCAGGCCTATTATTATAGGCTAGTCCATATTTTTACTCGATTAACACAAATTTTTTGGCTAGCTCCCGACCAAGCTGGTCATTTCTTTTGAAAAATGAATATTTAATTAAAAAAAAAAAATCAACATTTTGTGATACATACTTTAAAAGGAACATTAAAATAGGAAATAAATATCCGAAAATTGAAATGCAACATTTCATTATAGTATAGTATTGGTGCGTTAATCCTAGTCGTACCTATTTTATACAAACAAAAATCGAATATTGTTAGTATTAGAAATTAAAAATGAACATTTTTCAAAATTAGAAAAGAAACTCAAAATAAGAAGAAATAATTATTAGAAAATTAAAATTAACATTGCAATAAATAAAAATGCTTTATTTAGCAGCTTCAATTGATCAGTTTCCTCTGCTTGCTATGCAACATTTAGTTTAGCAGCTTCCAATGTTGCTACTGCTTCTATAGTTTTTTATTAGCTTCAAGAGCTGCCCTCTCTTTGACTGTCTTTTATTGATGATAGGTTCTTTTCAAGGTAATGCAATCTTTATTTGGTATTCTTTTGTCAATTGATGCTACCTTTTGAATTTGTTCAAAATACTCAAAATCTTTGCATTGGACCTATTGATATCAAATATTATTAATGAACATTACATGTAATAAGGCCTTGTTTAGTTCAACTTATTTTTACTTATTTCAGAAAAAATAAGTTCGGATCATAAAAAATAAGTTCAGATCAGATCATCGTTTTATGTGAGGTTTTTTATTGCTAAATATCTTTAATTACGTGATGAAAAAAATTATAAAAATTACATATTAATAAAATACACATTAATACGAATCTAACAAGATGCCACTTGATATATATCTTCTTTATAGATTATCGTACACATAAGGTCAAAGTTTGGTCAAATCAAACAATCAGATCATACCAGATCAGTTCAGTTCAGATAAGACCAGATCACATCAGATTAGATAAGCAAAAATAAGGTGAACTAAACAAGCCCTAAGTATGAACAATCTAGTTAATATATATGAATATTTTGTAATTATAAGAAAAATCATATTAATTAGGCCATGTTTAGCTGATAGTTGGTTGATTTAGTTGGTTGTATTAATAACTAATTTGACTAGCTAGTTATATTATCTGGTTTGATTAGCTTATTGTAAATAGCTGTTAATTGTAATTAGTTATTTCAGTGTATTTAATACTGAAAAAGCTAATTGTTCAATAAGCTAATATCAAAAAGCTTTTTAAATGAGCTTTTTTTAGCCCAAAAATCTTTTTTAAATAGGCTATTTACCAAACACCAAAATTAATTAGTTTTTTAAAATGGTCAGTTCTCAAATAGTGATTAATAAGCTAAAAGCTCCTTACCAATCAACGCCATAATTAATAACATTATCTAAATGAAATGAGAGATATGGAGAGAAAATTATGGGAATTATGGGTTTCAAGATTTTTTGTTTATATATATATATATATATATATATATATAGAGAGAGAGAGAGAGAGAGAGAGAGAGAGAGAGAGAGATTGGATCATGTGAAAACAAACCTAAAGCTGAAAACTGAAAACAGATGATCTAGACCATTGAATTTTCATCTGACGGATTAGATTACATTCGCGTTATTTGTAATCTTGACCGTCCATTCTCTCTGCTCTATTTTTATCTTTCTTCAATCTCACGACATCACTGGTTCTCTATCCTTCTCCCAAAAAATCATCAAATTTCAGAGGAATTTGCTTCAATCTTCATCAATAATTTGCTTCAATCTTCATCAATTTCGTCTTTAGCTTCAAAATTAAACCTGAAAAGTGAGTTTTGCGTTTCAACAATCAATTATGTGAGTTAATCATTTTCGTCGCTGAATATTCATCCCATTGAAGCGAGTTTTGAGCTTTCTCGATCCTCCATTGAAGCGAGTTTGAGCTTTCTTCTCCATTGAAGCGGCTTCTCAGGTAGTATTTCTTAAATTATCGACTATCAATTTCACAATCTAGGGTTTATTTCTAGTTAATTGCTCGAATGTTTTTGTTATGAAATATAAATTGTTGTTTGGATTCGAAATTTGTTTAATAGCATGCGAATTTTGTCGATTCAAGCATTTAATTGTTTTTAGATTTTATGTGTCATGTATTGTGAGTTTGTGACCCTTGAATTTATGTAAAATTGGGGGATTAGAGCAATCTTGAGCTCTTCATTGTGCCTTTTGCTTGGTCGGTTTGTTGTCACGGATTCATGGGGGAATTCGAGTAGTTTAGCATCTGTTTCTTGTGATTGTACTGCCTTGCATTTTGATGCAGAGTAAAGATGAGAAATAGGGTTACATTTTTGGGAACTAGCAAGCTGAACTTGGTGAAATTGTATAATTTCTTGGATTATATTTTCTTTATGTTTAGTACTTTTAAGGCTTTATAAAGAGGCTTCCATTGCATATATTGAGGCTTCCATTGCAAATATTAAACAGATTTCTACATGTGCAGGAGACAGAAAATTGAAGTATGCCGATCATCATGGTTTTCTCGTAATTACACTTATTGACACGCCAAGAGCTTATGCTGATCTCAAATCTGAGGAACTTGGTCAGGTGAGTAGACAACTACTAGTTTATTTCAAGTTTATATTGACTAAACCTGTGGTAATGAGGACAAAATGATTTGTCTCTCTGAGCTCAGGGTGAAGCTATAGCTCAAAACATAAGGTCTATGTTTGGACTGAGAGTTCCTGTCATCTCAATAGTCACCGGTGAAGGTGGTTTTGGGGGAGCTCTGGCCATCTGTTGCTGCAATAAATTGTTTATGCTTGAGAATCCTGCTTTCTATGTTGCTAGGTTTTCTTCGCATCTATTGTCTATTTTTGGTTTCTTATTATTATTCAAATTCCTTCATCATTTTCCAATACATGCTTACCTTATTATTTCCCTTTTGACATTCCTGAAGCATGCGTTGCAATATTATGGAAATCTGCCCAAGCAGCCCCAAAGGTATATGAATTTTTCTCTTGCTAGATAGTTAATAAGCTTTCATGGGATACAGCCTTATTAATTTCAGAAGAATCTATCTTTTTCATGAAAAGGCTGCTGAAAACATGAGGATAACAGCCCAAGAACACCTTCGGCTAAAAATTGATGATGTTATCATTCCTGCAAGCTTTTCTAAATTCTCAAATTTCTGCCTGAAATCAACATGATTTGTTTGGACACTTGGAATGCGTTCATTTGGACTGCATGCTTATTCCACATAATTGGCAGGTGTGATACTTTTGTGTTCTTTGTGTGATATTCTTTCTGATTATTTGTCTCGAACACTCTTCTTTTTTCTTTTTGCTGTTATTCTGAAATGTTGATTTGAAGCAAATTTCTTGTAGAGACATACTTCGTATACCTTAAAAATATTTGGGTCTAAATTATGTGGCTTTGTATGATACATTCTTGATCAATAAACAATTCTTAGAGCTAATTAGAGCTGTTACATGATTGGCTCAACTTGATTGTGTGGGTGTCAGTATACATTGATTGTCCACTGTAAAATGGATTAAATCAAATTGCTTAGAAGCATATATATATATATATATAAAAACGTCCAACAATACAGACAGAATATCTACTAGTGATCTATTATCACAAAAACTGCATATGCTTTGCTGATGCCACATGTGAGTTTGAATTGTTGCTGATGATTCGTTTATTACATTCACTTGCAGCTGGGAATATGCGCCACTTAATTGCTGAAGCTTGCATGGTTTGGATTGTACTTGATATCAACATACCTTTGGCCTCCTTTCAACCAAAAAAAAGAAGTTACTAGTGGTAATGACAAGTTGGATGAGGCTCCGGAGATTTTTCCTGAAAGTGACTGTATGAATCCTGAAGTGTCTGCTTTTAGACCCACAACTTTGGAAGGGTATGTGATCTGCTTGAAAACTCTGGTAAAGGTACTTGACTTTAGTGAATATGTTTATGAATCTAAAATATGTGTTGGTTTTAAGCCTCTACGTTTTTGGCATGTTGAAAGCCTATTAGCTCAATTGGTCGAGCACCGTGTAATCACGGGATGTAGGTTCGAATCCTACATAGACTTTTTTAATACTTATTTTTATATTTATTGACCTCTGGGTAAATGGTGTCAAATTGATATATATAATTACCCGAAATGTATATATAGTTACCTTATTTTCGATATAATGACCTTAGATTTATGGAAATGTTGTAAATTTTGGTTCAATCACCTTATTTTTATATATAGTGACCTTTATTTTTGTATATAGTGACCTTTATGTAAATGGTGTCAAAAACTCAGATATAGTTACTTTATTTTTGTATATAGTGACCTTAATGTAAATGTTGTAAAAATTGTTATAGTTACCCTATTTTTGTATATAGTGACTTCTATGTAAATATGGTCAAAATTGATATAGTTACCCTTTTTTTGTATATAGTGACTTCTATTAATAGGATCAAAATTGATATAGTTACCCTATTTTTGTATATAGTGACAAATGTTGTAAAAATTGATATAGTTACCCTATTTTTGTATATAGTTACGTTATTTTTATATATAGTGACTCTATGTTATTTTATTTTTTTTAAACCGTTAGATCTTGTTAGTAATAATGGATGGTTGAGATTTTCTGTTTTTAGTTTTCACCATAAGCCCTGTTTTTAGCGGAACCTCCCCGTATATATATATATATAATTTTTTTATATTTTTTTTTTTAAAAAAAGGATTTTTCACCAGGCACCCTTGAGGTTTAACAATATTCACGAAATACCCTTTTGTTTTTCAAAATTCACTAGGTACCCTTGAGGTTTGGGTATAATGTACCAAATACCCTTAATAGTTCACATATATTATTTCCGCTAACCTAAATAATCTAAAATTAGTTAATTACAACTTAATTCACCTACTAACCCATAATTTATCAAAAATGTCCTCTAACATCAATAGGAGATGCCTTAAATCAATGGTCAAAATAGATTTAATAGTGGTCAAAGTGTCTTTTAATTAAACAAGTTTGTTTGCTTTTATTAGGCTTATATGACATAGTATGTAATGTTGAAGGAAATACATTGTAGGTCAACTGATTTTGAGTCACTTTAATTAACGTATTCAATATCAATTATTTATTAGGGGTGTTTAGTACATTACACATGAACCTCAGGGTACCTTGTAAATTTTAAAAACGAAGGGGCACCTTGTGAATTTTGCTAAACCTCAAGGGTACGTACCTCGTGAAATTTCCGAATTATAATTGATGATCACATGGAATGGGGTACACTTACTAATTGACTCCGATCCATTAACTGTCAATAATTATACGTTGCACTCAATGTAGACCAATTAGAACTGGCTGGTCCATACCCTATAAAATGAATATTTATTACAATAAAAATGAACATTCATCATACAATTATACTCCCTCTGTTTTTTTTTTTTTTTAATGCATTAGTTTGATTTAATTTTTTTGCTATTATAAAATAAATAAGGAAAAATTGGTAAAAATAACCCCAACTTTCGCCGGTTCGCTCAAAATAATCTCAATTTTGGATTATTTTTAAATAATCTGAACTTTGAGGGTTTTTCGCTCAAAATAGTCCCATGTGACCAGCAACCTGTTAAAGAAGTAATTTTTTTTTTGTTTAAGGTACACGTGTCATCACGTGATTAGTTGAAAAAAAAATTAATAAACTAAAAAAAAAAAAACTAACCCCCTCCACCACCAACTTTCTAGTAGCCACCTCCTCCCACCGCCCAAGTACTCCAATCCCCCACCCCTAACCGTTGTCACGCCTAGAAACCCGGCCTCCCCACCGCAGCGGCTCCGGCGCTGCCACTCCCCTAACCCCCTAAACCACCAAAACCCCCACCCGAAAACCTCCTTACTCAAACCCAAATCACCTAAAAAAACGCAACCCTACCGCACAAACCCCCTAATCGGCCCTCTCCCACCCTCGGTACCCTAGACGCTAGAGTTTCGATGGTGGGGATGGCCGTTTGGAGGGTTTTGCGGTGGGGCTGGGCTTTTTAAAGTGTTTCGGGAAGTGATGATGGTGGTGTTGGGGTCGAAATTAGGTGATTTAGGGGGAGCGTCGACGCCGGCACGCCGGAGGGAGGGTTTGGGCGTTGACGCTGGGGATTCCGGGCAGCGATGAAGGTGGGGGGTTCCGAGAATGGTCGTGGCTGGTGGTGGGGACGATGGTTGTGGATGGGGCTGGGTTTTTGTTTGATTATTTAAGTTTTTCTTTTTTAATTTTTTTTTAAGTTTTAGTTTTTTTTTTTTTAATTTTTCAACCATTCATGTGGTGACACGTGTCACCTTAACCTGCTATAACAGTGGTGAACGGTTGGGACCATTTTGAGCGAATGACTCCCAAAGTTCGGATTTATTTAAAAACCATCCAAAGTTGGGATTATTTTGAGCGAACCGGCAAAAGTTGGGATTATTTTTACCAATTTTTCCAATAAATAAATGTTATTATATAACACTTCTTTCGTTCTAGTAATATTGCAACAATTGGACTTTTGCACTTTCATCATGCTTGTTTGACCACAAATTATGATTTATACGTAAAGTAAAATATAGTCATGTGGGGTCTTGTTAGATTCGTATCATAAAATACTTTCACAATATCAACTTTTAATAATTTTTACTCTTATATAATTATAGATATTTAACATATAAAATGTGATTTCGGATGCATAATTTCATCCTTGTAGCAATATTTGTGGAACAGAGGAAGTATATCATTAGATTTGTCATAATGTCTACTTTCATAATATAATTGTGTTACAATTTTTACTAATAGACAATTAGTGATATTATTGGTCAAAATTATGTTTTGATAATGTACCGCTCAAACTGATTCATATAAAAAAAAACAAAAACAAAAAAAAAAACAGAGGGAGTAAGAACTAACATAAACATTTAATTTAAAAGGTTCATATATAAACTTCACAATATTACAATGTTCATTTAAAATAGTGTCATATTCATATAAACAATAGTAGTGTAATAATATCACCAAATTTAAAATTTTAATGTTCATTTTCAATAATATAGGTAAAAAATCAATATATAGTTATTAACGAAAATAATTTAGGTAAAATAGATCGTTTAGATTCATTATAAATGCTTGTATCATAGGGAAGGGGAGACAACCTTGGATTCAAAAGAAAATGGTAAGGGAAGCGGTGGGGTTATGGTGGTGGTAGTGGTTGCTAGGCGGCTGGTGGTTGGTGAAGGGGGTCGGTATTAAATAAAATATCAATCACATTGCGACACATGTCATAATAACCTGTTAAACAAGTTATCAACCATTCACGTTCTATTTTGAGTAGATAGCTGTCAAAGGTTGTTTTTTTTTTAAATAACCAAAAGACTGTTTTATATATTTTTGGAAGAAGATTGGCCAAATGTTGTTTTTATTTATCACAACTTTTCCTAAAATATTTTGGGTGGGGTTTTAGAAAAATGAGATAAATAATAAATTATGGTATAAAGTTACCTAATTACAAATATTAATGGTCAAAGTTGTGCATTGGCTTGCGTGCCAGTCAAAATGCTGCGATTTTGATGAAGCGAAGGGAGTACACCGTATTAGTTGGACAAAATCAGATTTTTTAATCTAACTGGTTGTACTATGTATTCCCTCGGTCCTTATTATTCTATCTCTTCATCGCGTACTGTATATTATTAGACTTTCCCCTTTACTTTTTTGTTTCTTTCCATAAAAAACGGTACATAATTCCAAGTTTATATCTAATTTTACATAATATCAACTTGAAGAGATTGATTCTAGCCTTATATACACCCGGATATAAAGTACACCTAATAATATCTTTCATAAATTAAAAAAAAGGTATATAATAATTCCAATTTTATCTCTAATTTTTCATAATATGAAAAGAAGATGATTAGGGGATTTTGCTCCCACCAATCGGAATGCGCCACGTGGGCCAATCAGGTCCTGCCAAGTGTCCCCCAGTTGGAACTGTCAGGGTTTGCCACGTGGCACACGCTTATTCGTCCACCTTGGACCTATTATGTCATGACACGTGGCATACTCCATGTCTAATGGAGAAACCGGCCACCCAGGCCCAACTTCCGAGGAAAGCCCAATCAGCCCTAGGTTAACCTAAACCTAGGATTGGCACGTTTCCCAAGGTTATAAATACCTCCCTTAATCCTCATTAAGGGGCAGATCACGCTAAAAACGCAGATTACACACATTAAACACTCTCACCTAGAAAGACCCAATCACTTTAATTTCCGCGTTAATTACTCCTTAATCAAGTACTAACTTGACCGTCGGAGGCGGAGCTCCCACCACCAGGAGTCTCCGTTGTTTTGCAGGTACAGGCGTCCGGTTCCAGTCTCGGAATTGTAACTCTCCC